ACGAGGCTCTCTAAAAGTAACTAACCTCACCGCGTTTTACAATACCGCTGCTAATCAGCAAACTTTGAATATCACGTTGAACGATTAACAATTCTCCGAAGCAAGCACACAGGCCGAAACGCGAGGTTCTTCAATTTCTGGCTAACTACCTCCGCGCTCGTGAAGTAAGAACAGCACACCTCGAACTCGTTTCCTTTCTATTTAACTCAGAATACTTCCGCTGATAATTTGAATCCTTGTGCGTTCTACTAAAATTTACATACTCTGGCATTGGCAGTTCCAGGGGAAAGTAAGGCTTGACAGGAAAGATAGTTTAAACTTAAAATAAATGTTAGTTAAAGTAAATATAAACCCTACAAGTTAACTAACAGAGACGTCTCCGTCTGAGAGGCTACACTTAAAAGTTTTGTGCTCTATTACTTCGCTGCACTGTGCTTTTACTGTCATTTTCTTCATTGTATTTCCTTTTATCTGCTATGTTTAAGGTTCGGTGCTAGGTTTTACGGAATATGATTTTCTCTGTGGCAGATTTTAGGTTTTTTAGGTGATGACAGATTTTAGGAGTGTAGAATGTAGATTGCAAGAAACCTAAGTTAAACTGGAGACTGTATGTTTACTTTTTGCGAATGACAATTTGCTGTTGTTTAAGTCCGTGTCAGTTTAGAAATGGGTCGTAGAAATTCTACGTCGCGACAGATTAGCAGTGAAACGATTTCGGACTGCATCTGCAGTTGAAAAAAGAAAATTTATGGTATAATCCTAATGTAAACAGGACTAGAAGGTGAATAGATTCTGTCACGTATTCATTGTAAGCTGAGTAATGTTGGCAATATTCCTGACAACAATAATATTGTTGCGTTCTACGGGTTCGTGGATTTGGAGTGATTGATGACAATAATTGATGAAGAATCAAAACACAATTTATTTAGCCAGTATTGCTCAAGACAGTTACAAAATCAAGTTTACAGCCGTCAAAAAACTACGACAAACACGCCGAAAGAAACCGCAACGCAGGCATCAGGCTATCAAGATGAAGGCAGCTTCACGCCAAAACACTGAAGTACAGACACTCCAGACGAAAGATCTCCGACTCAGATTCATATTCTAGAGGACCCATACAGAGTTTAGATATCCATCGTCTGTGGAACCTCATCCTCGCAGGCGCAACCCCCTCCCGCAGTCCTCGCCCGGCTTTTACAAAGCATTGGGCAGAACGGTAAATCGTTTCTAAAATCAAGAAACTCTGTCACCTTGCCTCTAGGCACCACTCCCATCGGCAAAAATTTACCATTGTTTTGTGGGTGCTCTGTCCACTCTGTCAGTCCCCGCCACGAGAACTGAATGGGGTCAAACTCCCGGGGACTCGGTCGACGATTTCCTATCTAGCCCACCACAGCCGAAGGAACAGACACGACAGTACCAGTACGGTCCCTGCCAAGCCTGAGTGCAATACTCGGGTTATAGGCCTGTGAAGCCAACTTATATATCCCCGTGGTTGAGATACAGATCCTAGCCAGTACTTCCCAGGCGTTCGCGTGAGTCAACCCTCGGTGAGAATGCTAAAATACAGCTCTCGACTCGGCCGATAGCTGTCGGAGCTCAACACAAATAAAAAGATAAAAAAAGTCTACTAAGATAAAACTCGACGATACTTCCGCGTATAGGCAGGGTTATGTAGCTTTTAACCTGCCTGCGAGAACATTCTGGGGTAAACCGGTAAGAATTTGTTCCAGAATTTTCGTCATCTGACTGTGGCGTATCGCCAATTTTGGAGCTAAATGGGTGGTTTCGCGCCAAGTATGGCAAGACTGCATTCTCTTGCCATTTTCTGGCAACCCTAAATACGCTTTGCTGGGAAGCTATTTTACAGCAGCTGGGCATTTCTTAACAATATCCATTGTATCCAAAACGCTTTTATTAATAAGAAAAGGAATAGGTTATTCTCTGCAAAAAATATATAATGCATAATTAATTATTTTTATGCAATATAGTTATTAAGCTTTTGATTCTCTAACGAATGGAATAATCCCTTAAATTAAAATGGTCAACCAACGTACCTGTGTCCTGTACAGCATTCAACTCTTATTCCAGTCCCCAATGATCTGTCTCGAATAAATATTTTATGTGTTAATATCAATGTTGACTCGCTGAGTGCACGAATAAAACTACACCTTTCTTGACTGCTCATTATTCTATCTCTGATTGTTTTTGATTAATCTCATTTTCCAAAAACATTATTTCTAAACATAGCATTAAGCAGCTGAGGGCGTCCACGGCATATATAGCTTCTTTTTTCTGACGCCTTCTTTTTTCTTCTCCATTCTGCCCCCATCTCTTCGCCTTTCTTAATCATACAAACCAAGATCCCGATGTTACTGTCAACGCTGGAAATCATAGCAAAAGTAACAGTAAATAATATTTAAAATGGACAAATCTTACCTTAAAGCTCATTCATCTTATAATATCCTAAAACTGATATTAAAAGAGTTCGCAGAGTGCAAATCATATAATTAGATCGTAATAATAAGGGTTATAACATCCAACTGTGTTATTAAAATCATAAAATTCAATTTGAAATATATAAAAATAACATATATTTGTTTTCTGAAATAAGAGTTTTGAAACTTAAGATTGCATTTTAACTGCTTTACAAATCGTTGCTATCCACAGCTTCAAAACAAATCATTAATTAAAACATTTTAATATTTTGCATTACTTTCAAATATTCAATGAGATATCTTCACTGTCCGGATACTTTCATCAACTTAAATCCCAAACATAAATAATATAGCGAATATAAAAAAAAGTATGGCAATACTTAACACTCTGTATACGTGAACATTAACCACGTGACTGCGTCTAAGTCACACACATTGTGTTTTCACTTTGCATTTTCCGATATATGATTGTCAGTAAACAATAAAAATAACTTTTTCAGCAATACCAGTTTTGACAAGCTCGTTGATAATGAGAAGAAGAACGTTTTGTAACGAAATAGTGCGTAGGATATATGCGAATCAATTGAAAGAGTTCGTCGATCTCTGTATATTTATTTAGTCCGTCTGTCTGAAAAGTTATTTCCTGGAAGATTTTGAACTTTTTTTTATTGAGCCTAATTTTTCTCCAGAAAGGACTCACGTTTTAGTCACTGCAATGTTGCTTTCATTCAACTGTTTTTTAAATATTCTTCGCTTGCTGCTGTATTAATATACTGCGCATACATAGAATATTTTGAATACATGAAATATAAAATACCTTCAAGTTCCTGGCTACTTTAAAATGCATCTTTGATAATACAATGAAAATGTTTTCGTTACAATATTTAATATTACTTTTTTATCATAGAAAAATTTAAAATTTTAACACACGCACAAAAAGAGAGAGAGAGAGAGAGAAAGAAAGAAAAAAGAAAAAATTGAAAGCCTTCAGATTTATACTCGTAATATGCCCAAAGGCCTTTTTTTTTTTTTTTTTTTTTTTAAACTTTCTGCGTGTTACCTTTACTTATAAAACATCATGTTTTTCGCACTTAAACCACATAAAATTCAATTCTACAGCAATATCACAAAATATTTAAAAACAGCAAGACCGCATATCTATCTTTATGTCTTTAAATAATATTTATATTGCTCTAAATTAATTAGCTTTATTTATACATTTTTTAGAATCTTCACAGTCATTTTTTACAGTTGACGCAATATTTGCAACAGACATATAATTTAAATATTTTGCTAACGAAATAGTGCGTAAGATCTATGCGAATCAATTGCAACAGACACATAATATTTGCAATATTTGTGTATATTTATAGACAATAATTTATTTTACTAAAGAAATACTGATTATATTATCCCCTAAGATTAATTTTAGTAGAATTATTTAAAAAGAGTGAATCCATAGTTAGCAAGTTTAATTCCGAAAATTGTTTTAAAGTAACTTGAATGTAAATTATTAAAAATGTTTAACGGGAACTTGAATTAAATCATGAACAACAAAATTTCGATTGTAAAAAGAAATTAAATTTAAAGCAAGTAATCATTGCCATTGATCGGAAATTAGTTGACTTTTCAAGGGGAACAAACAAACTCCCGTTCAATGAACAATAATTAAGAAATAAATACGAAGGTGTTTCGTCCTTTACTCAAGTAACAAGGCGATGTCAAACTGGTAATTTAAGTTAGGCCAAATATTTCCATGAATTGAAAGGATCAAGAACCAATATAGAGCACCAAGGAACTCATTCTGATTAAGCATTTTCGCTAATTCAATTTTGAGTGAAATGAAATTTATGCAGTAAAATTGATAAATTACTTGAGTAATTGTCCCCGACACACTCGTGTTTATGCATTTTAATTCAAAACTTTTTGTAAAAAATTAAACATTGGAAATTGGCATTATGAAATATAACTCAAAGTAATTGAAATAAACATTAGAAAATGGTACATGTAAGGTAGATAAAGAGATAAAATTACTAATTGGTGCGGATTTTGCTGGTAAGTTGCTAAGTGGAAAAATTGTTCCCCTTACGTGCGGCGTCAGCGCAGTGCATACGCAGTTAGGCTGGACTGTTATGGGTAAATTTACTGGCACGGAGCCAACTACGATAAATACTGCATCCCTCCTAATTTCTTCTCTGTTAGTGAAGGGTCAATGTGTAAGTGATCTCTGGAAGTTAGATGTTTTGGGTATTAGGTGAAAACCTTCCGTAAGTAAAACCAAAACTCAGTTACAGGAGGATACGCAAAAATATTTTGAAGAGACTCTTACGGTAAATTCAGAGGGAAGGTACGAAGTAGCATTACCTTGGGTGTCGGATAGCTCGCTTTTACCCGAAAACAAAGTGATAGCAGAAAAATGTCTTGTAAGTACTAAAAGAAAATTAATGACTACGGGAAATTTTGACGCTTACGGAGACGTTTTCCAGAACTGGTTAATACTCGGGATAATTGAAAAAGTACCGGATAAGAATAAATATAAAGGTGTATATTATTTCCTCATAGAGCAGTTGTTAAAGTTGTTAAAGAAAATAGTAGCACGAGTATAAGACCAGTGTTTAATGCAAGTTCTCATTCGCCTGGTTACCCATCATTGAACGATTGTTTATCTACTGGACCAAATTTAATTGAAATTATACCTTCGATTCTTAATCGGTTTCGCAAGTATTACGTTGGTGTCACTTCAGATAAAGAAAAAGCGTTCTTGCAAATATCTATAAGGGAAAATGATCGAGACTTTTTGAGATTTATGTGGTTCAGTAGGGATAATCAAGAACAAGTTGAACTGTATCGGCATAGAAGGGTAGTTTTTGGTATTACGTGTAGTCCGTATTTTTTGGCCGCTACAATATAATATCATTTGAGTGTAGTTCCCGAAAGCTTAAGTCATACAGCAGAGATATTGAAAACATCCTTTTACGTAGATAACTGTGTGGCTAGTATGTATTCAGAAATAGAAATGAGAAAGTTTGTAAATGAATCACAAATAATTATGGCTTCGGGTCATTTTAATTTAAGATTTTGGAAATCCAATATAAGAAGTGTTGTGCCAGAGGAAGATTCCTCCACGGAAGGAGATGTGTCTGTTTTGGGCTTTGTATGGCATACAGTTACAGATACCTTATCCTTCAAAATAAGTCAAGATATAAAATTGGATGACCCAGTTACTAAAAGACTAGTTTTAGCAGTAGCTCATCAGGTGTTTGACGTTATAGGGCATACGGCTCCTGTAATGTTGATTCCAAAACTAATTTTACAGGAAACTTGGAATTTAAGGCTTAAATGGGACGATATTCTTCCCGATGAATTAACCAAAAAATTTAGGTTTTGGTTTAAAAAGTTGTACTTGCTATCCAGTATCCAAATACCTAGATGGATAGGTCTCAGATCTATCAATGAAGCTGTGAGTATACATCTCTTTTGTGACAGTAGTAAAAGTGCGTATGGTGCATGCGTCTTTTTAAGAGTACAGAGTGGCAAAAAGGTGAAGGTTAGTTTGGTACATGCAAGATCGAGAGTAGCGCCTTTAAAACCTATTACGATTCCTCGATTAGAACTTCTTGCTTGTAATATTGGTTCTAGGTTATTGTCTTCAGTTATTAATGATATTGGCTTACATGAAGTTCGTATTCATTGTTGGACTGACTCCTCGACGGCTTTAAGTTGGATACGGCGAAATCAACGTTGGGGAGCATTCGTTTTTAATTGTGTACAGGAAATCAGGTCTTTGACTTCCCCCACTGTATGGCGATATATCCCTGGTAGTCTCAATCCTGCTGACCTACTTTCTAGAGGTTGTCATGCAGAACAATTACTAGAACGAAAATGGTGGGAGGGACCTGATTGGTTACGGAAAATGAGGCAAATTGGCTTAAATCTAATGATGAACCAGATGAGGATTTAGTTAATTCAGAAATACGTAAGACAGTTATTGTTACGTTGGTAAAGAATGATAATTGTATTGGATGGTACTATAAGTATTTCTCATCATTTAAGAAAATTGTAAGAATGTTATCATGGATATTCAGATTTTATAATAATGTACGTAAGAATAATAATAACAACCATTCTAAGGATTTGACTGTATCTGAAATAGAAAGGGGAGAAATAGCTTTAATGTTATTAATACAAAAAGAGTCGTTTAATGGTGAAACAGATGATAAGCTAAGACGACTCAGACCATTTGTCGATAGTCAAGGTCTAATAAGAGCTAAGTCTAATGTTGCTTATCGTGACGACTCTGACAGCTTTAAATTCCCCATCATATTACCTTCTGAACATCCAGTAGTCAAATTATTGATATTAAGTGCACACAAAGATTTGTTGCATGCAGGTATTACATTATTGATGTCGCATTTAAGAGAAAGATACTGGATCTTAAAATCACGTATAAGAAACTGTATAAGAAAATGTGTAACATGTCAGAGATTTAAGGCTAAAAGAGGTGAGACAATCCCAGGCGTTTTACCAAATGATAGGGTTCGTGATTCAGCCATTTTTGAAGACCCTTGCATTTAAAGGATGGACGAAAATCGTATATTGTGCTCTTCACCTGTGCGGGTTATCGTGCTATCCATATGGAACTGGTTACCTCATTAACAACTGAATAATTTTTTCAAGCTTTAAGGCGTTTTATCTCACGTCGTGGACGCCCTACCACCATATATTCCGATAATAGGACAAATTTTGTGGGTGCAGAGAGAGTTCTGCAAACCATTGACTGGGACAGCCTCTGCTCTAGGGCTGCTGAAAAGAGAATACAATGGAAATTTAATCCTCCATCCGCCGCTTGGTGGGGTGGATGGTGGGAGCGTTTAATACAAATTGTAAAACAAATATTAAGAAAACTTTTAGGTCGTGCTTCTCTTGGTTATGAAGAGTTACTCACCGTCTTGTCTGATTGTGAAAGAATTGTTAACTCAAGACCACTTACGTACATGTCTGACGATATTGAAGATCCCTTGCTTTTTTACTCCAGAAAAATTTCTGCATGAAACTCCACAGTCGGGTACCTGATATTGACAATGTGGACAAAGAAAAATTGAGTAGAAGAGCGAAGTATCTCCAGAGAATGAGAGAATTGTTAAGAGTGAGATTTCGCTCTGAGTATCTAGGGCAGTTAAGACAGCAGTCTACCAGAAATTACAAAAATAAACCTCTCTTCGTAGGAGAAATAGTCTTGCTGGAGGATCAAAATAAAAAACCGTGCATATTCTAATTTAGCATATTCTAATTTAGCATTCTAATTAGCAAACCGTGCTAATTTAGCGTGCATATTCGGGTGATCCCTGGTCGGAATGGCAACATAAGAGTTGCTCTTGTAAAAAGTAATAATTCAGATTTCTTGAGACCAATACAGAGATTGTTTAGATTGGAACTAGATAATATAGTAGATAATCCTCAAAATGATCAAGTTCCTTTCACCACCAGTAGTGGTAGAATTGTAAAATCACGAATAATGTAATTTATGTCTTTGAGTTATTACAATTTATTTTGTTGTGCTATTATTGTTGTATTAGTCATCAGTATTAATTTTGTTTTCAAGTAATATGATTTAAGTATTAAGCAATTTTCTTTGTTATATAACCATCATTTATATTGATGTAAGTTTTATGTTTTGAGTGGTGGGAGAATTGTGGCGACACACTGCCTTTCTGTGGCAACCCTAAAGAATTCGCCTGTCAAGAGGATCACGTGCCCAGATGCATCATTACGTATACGTCTGCTTTTATGTTTGATAGTTAGTTGCATTTAAGATTTTGTAGAATTAGAAATGTCGTGAAAATAAATGTTGGTGTTTTTAAAAAGTGTCGGCTCAGATTTTCGAACCTATGATTTACTTGTTAAGCAACAATTTCCATAAACTGTTCCCTCACAAATCTGTTACCTTTTAACTCTCGCTGCACCCTTTTGAACTGCGTTTTCATTAACCCAAAATTATTTTCCAAATGCTCTGGACAACAACAACAAGCGAGCCTCATACCTCCCGTCTACATATTTCAAATCCTCTTCAAATTGTTTAATTATTCGCTCATCGCCAGCCCTCCTTTCCGATGCACACTCAGAGATTCCTAGACTTTCAATCTCCCAAAGCTGACGAATCTGTTCCGATATTTTTAATACCTCTTCCGAATCGATATGTATAAACAAGCCGGTGGAGTCTGACCCTGAACTTAACTTCTTACTCTCTCTCCCCACTCTACCACTCAACGACTCTCTCTCCCCACTCTACCACTCAACGTCCAACCGAATATACTTTCATGCAACTAAATAGTCTGTTAACCGATATGTTTTTCCCGTTAAAATGCAGTTCAAGTAATCATTACCAATTAAAATCTTCTCTGCCACTTCACTATCGAAGCTGTCAGATAAGTGAAATCCTCTTTGGCGAAGCTTGTTTATAATTTCTGCAGATGATTTGGGTAAAGCATTGGAACATATGGTTTTTACTTCGAGTACTTCGATGATTAGATTGAACCCGGTCTTATTTTTCAAAGAAAGTCTTTTCCTTTTAAATTCTCGCACTGGCGGATTCGAAGATGCAAATGTATGAAGAATTCTTAATCTTTCTGTTACCAATAGTTGGTAAACTTGCTTTTCTGGAAATAGACTGACAAACATAAGATCTTTCGGAAGCTGAATCGCATAACAACCTAACGTTAAATGTGGAATTATTTCCTACCAGTTGACCTCTCAATGTTTGATAATAAATCACTTCATTAGGAATTTGTTTGCTCAGTGTTTCGAGGAATAGTGAACTAACAGTTGTCTCTTTTGCTGCGCTCGCAGTATTTTTAATGGATTTATTTTCTTGCCCATCTGCATCACACAGGCTCTCTAAATGCGACAAAGATTTGCAAATATTACATTTAACCCATTTTGCCTTACAAAATGGTTTTTTGTGACCCTTTTTTAAACAGCGCTTGCACTTAAATTGATCGTATAATGCTTTGCGTTTCTCTGAAATACTTAAGTCGCAGTCTTTTGAGAGGTGAGATTTAAGACAAAAGTCGCACATATAATTTTCGACTGATGTATTAAGCGTCGCCGCTGATACCATTTTCTTTTTAATTGGAGCAACACTCTTACGATAGTTGTCGGTATTTCTTTCACTGGTTATCGAAAGTGTTTGTTGTTTAAGACCCAGAGTTAATGACTTTTCGCGCGCTTCTACTTCTCTCTTTAGAAACAACAATAAATCTGACACTGTTGACTCTGTGTTGCTCCCTACTAAACTGTAACACTAAATCTTGCGGTATACACTTATATAAAATAGGAAGTAATAGATTGCCGTAAGAATTAAAATTAATATCTAATGTCTCTAAACTTCTTGTTTGAACTGTTATTTCATCATATAGTTTTCTTAAACTGGATACATCACTTGAACGGCGTACTGGCTCCAAAGCTAGGAGAATGTTCATATGCGCGCTAACTAATATTTCTTTTTTCCCAAATCTGTCAGTTAAGATTTCGATGGCCTTTATATAGTTTTCTCCTATTAATGGCAATCCGCTTATAGCTTTTGCAGCTGAACCGGTGAGTAAAGATCTTAAATAGTTAAACTTCTCAACATCTTGAAGCGTATTGTTTTCGTGAATGGCAGCTTTATACTGAGCCCAAAATTCAGTAAATTTACATAAATCGCCGCTGAAAGTTTCTAAGGTAATGCGAGGCAATTTAGTATTATAATTAGTTTTGATTTCCGAAACTTGTGAAGTTGTTCCGGTTTTACCCACATTTTGAATATATCTATTGACTTTCGATTTACATCTAATGATGGATTCGCTGTATTCTAAACAATGTTCTACTTCTGTCTCTAATTCCTGAACAGTGCTTTGAGCATTAATAACTTCATCATATTTTAACAAGCTAGTTTCTCTCTCGATTAACACTGAAAGCGATTCCTGCAACACTTCTAGGTTCGGATTCTCGCTTTGCAATTCCTCATCCAATTTCCTTATTAATTTTGTTACACTGGTACGAACCGAACCTCAAATTTTTCTATTTCTCTCGACGGTTTCTTCAAAAGTCATTTTCAAAGATAAACTGCATGCAGATAAAATGAAATAACTCACCTTCTGGCCTGATGCTACCAAAAACTTGATGTATGTAATAACTTACTTACATCTTCTTTTTATCGGTGGTTCTTGTGTTCTATTGGCCAAACAAAGACACTTTCCTTTAAACTAAATCTATTTAATGAAGAGAAGACTATGTACAAATATTATATAGCACAGATTACAGAGTATATAGTATAGGGTTTTCATCCGCAGATAACCCGTTGGCGCCGTTGCATTTTTACTCGCCAAGCTCCGATGAGCCCAGCCGTAAACGTGGATTTAGTGTATGTAAATTCAAGTTAGCAGACAATGGTAGTAAAAATTCACAGATAATAAGTGTGTAGATGTAAAACTAACAGGTTAAACGTGATATACGAAATAAATTTGTATTAAATTCAAGTTAGCACAGAAAACAGTACAGTGTATTAAGCATAACGGGAAATAGAAATTCATTAAAAAAATAAAAATTAGTATTCTTATACTTACGTTTACGTTATACTTATATGTATTTTCTCTAATTCATATAGAATACTAATATTTCTTTTACAAGTGTCATTTTTCATTATTAAGTACTTGGCCTGTTGATTGATGTATTTCGGTAACAGCCATGCCCATGTAATAAATTAATGAATGCATGACCTTTAATACATCCATTTTACATAGTTTTCAGTATTTTTTTTTTTTTAGTCCAAAGGGATTTGAATCCCGAAGGACTATTAGTTTCGTTTTGGCATTTTGCGTCGGACGGATAAATGTCGGATCACTTTTCAAACTGTTGCCATAAAATGTTAGAGTCCTGCATTATATTTGAAGAAATTAAATAATGAAAATCTGCGTAAATGTATGTATATTTCTCACATTGTCATAAAATAACGGTACATAGAGTCATCGAATTTTGAATAACGTAATCCTCCAACGAATATGAGCATGTGGAAGACCAAATTTGAAATTTGAAATTTGTTTTATGATCGATTTCCTATTTTTTAAAACTTTGACGAATTTTTGATTAACAAACTCAAGGATTTCAAAGCGAGCAATGGCAACGTTATGCAGAAAAAACATTTTTATCTCCAGCGCGTGAGTCTCTGTATCGGAAATTCTAAAGATATGCTCGTTTTAAAACTATTTTGCGATATTGCTGTTGCACTGGATCTTATGGTTTAAGTGCGAGGAACATGATATTTAATAAAGAAAGGTAACATACAAAATGTTAAAAACGCCCCTTTGGACGTAATTTAAAATCTGAAACATTTCAGATTTTTAGTTATACTATATTATTTTTTTTTTTTTCAAGTTACTTGCATACAGCTTAAAGCATTTTACGTTGCAACAAATACCTGTCCTTTTTCATGATATATTTCACAATACAAATAACCTTCAACAGTAATGAAATTTTCTTCAGTAGCATTGTTAAGTTAATAAAACTAGAACTTCATACATTTTAAAATTATTTTAGGATTTGGAAACCTCATGGTTCTGCGTGCTTACAACTGTTAATAGTTAAGAACATAACGTGAACAGCATGTTACAAATTAGCATTCACCTCTCCCGCCATATTTTCTTTCTTAGATCCCGAACTGACGAGCCGAGAAACGGCATCTTTCGACGAAAACTTCTTTAATTATGCGAAAATATTTCTATCTATTCGTTGTTAAAAAATTCAGAAAAAATAACAATAAATAAGAGAAGAATAATATAAATCTCCAAATGCGAACAACGACAACCTTCGCACAAGCGAATAGGATGAATTAGCTAGGTTACCAGGTTTGAACTATTATCGCCACAGTTGGCGATGTTTACATTTACCGGGTTCTCTGCGGAAGTGCTTCCTATAGTTTATGACACTCTCTTCCTCTCTCATCAACCTCTCAACCCTCTCTGCTGAAAACTCTTAATTAGCTAAACACACGGGCGGCGCAGCGCCCTCTATCTCTTTTTTCTACAACTAAAATGTTTGCCGTTCAAATACGAGACCATCTCGTTTTCAGATTTAGGCTATTACATGCAGCGAACTTGGCATTTAAGGAGCTGATCGTAAGAATCTGAATTATTCTGTGTAAAACATTAGATCTGATTGGCGATGGAGCATTTGACTATCCAATGGAAAACTGAGTCTTTTGAGTGGGATTGCTGGGCAGCTACAGGTGGTAGGACGGAAGTTCGAAGTTACTCACGTTTTCTGATGTCTACGAATTGGTACTTGCGTTACATATCAGATTACCATGGCGACGGTATCTCAACTATTTCTGTGCAACTTCACAGGGAAAATCATGGCAAGAAACTTAAAGTACAAGGAATTTTCTTCATTTCATCAAGAAATACAATCTGCAAGCACTACTTGGATTGCATTATGCACAGCGATACCAAACACATAAGACTTTATGAATGTAGAGGAAGATATTTATCTTTGGGACAGATATGCTGTGAAGCATGGATTAGAGAATTAACAGAAGCCGAAGAAAAATCAGTGCAGACTCTGCCAACATTCTGTAAGTTGTCGCGCGATATCCATGCAATGTATCAGAAGCAAGACCACTTCGACTTGATTGTTATCTGCAAAGACGTGGAGATTCCTGCTCACAAGTGCATCCTTTCTGCCAGATCTCCAGTATTTGCTAAGATGTTCCAGCACGCCACAAGTGAAAACTCCGACAACCGAATAGTCATTACTGACATCGAACCTGATGTCTTTGAGGAGCTACTGCAGTTTCTGTATTGTGGGAAAATAAACCCGTCCACTTACTCGAAGGCCCATGATTTGTATTATGCAGCCGAAAAATATTTCGTATCGGATCTGAAAGATCTGTGTCGTGATTTTATTACTTCTTCGCTATCCGTTACGTCAGCTGTTGAAACATTAATTTTAGCCGATAGGCATAAGGATGAAGAAATGATGGAAAAAGCCGTTAGTTTTATTGCCGCTTCGTTCCAGTGCATAAAATCAACAGAACCGTGGATTATTCTTCTGCAAGAAAATCCGACATTAGCAACTCAAGTTCTTTCTTCGGTTGAAGAAATGTCTCATTCTGAAAAACCTGATGAAGTGTCACGTATTTCGTGTTCCATTATGAATCCGTGCTCGCTCGCAATTTGTCACTGAAGGTATATACTATCTGGTCTAATTAATGCAAAGTAACTGATATAAAATGTGATGGAAAAAAAGTATCATTTTGGTGAATTAAAGTGTCTCCAAAACTTTTTCTTGGCTATAATTCCCTAGATTGTCTTATGTTAAATAGAATTTCTTCCCTATTGTTCGGAAGTAAGCATTTCATACCTGCTGAGACATAAAAGCAAGTATAGTACTTTGAAATTTCTTGTACTTAATGATATTATGTGAACATTTTTTGTGAAGATGAGAATATTATTTAAAAATTATTATGGTTAGAAGTGAATTCATAATTTTTCTCAATTTATATGAGCTGAGACTTGTCTAAAAATGTATTTTTAATAGATAGGATTTGCAATAGTTTCTCTCATCAGTTTGATGACTGTTACTTTAAAAGTGTACGTTCTTTAGTTATTCATAGAATTATCGTTTTAATATAAAGTATATAATTTCTGTTTCATTAATAATGCAATCTAGATTTTTATGGATTCTTTCATTCTCTTACCAAATGAGGCAAAAGAGTAGGAATGGTATGTGTAAATAAAATCAAGTGTCTTCTGTAATAGCAGTCCATACTTTCTAGGAAGTTCGTTATATTAATTTTATTTCCCGAACATTAAGTATTACTAAAATAATGAAAAATATAATTACCGAAATCAAGGGAAAAGAACATATGTACAATAACTTATGTAACTACGAATTACATATATTTTTTGAGAAATTCATTATATTTTCTTTTTTTTCTTAATTTCCCGAATATATTTGTATTACTGAATTAAATGCTGAAATCTGGGAAAAGAGAATGAATGCTTTGTATATAATGTAACCAATAACATTCTTCCGTAATTTCAGTTCATAAATTCTTTTATGAAATTCATAACTCCTTTTTTTATTTCCTGAACATTCCTATTACTGAAATTAAAAATATAATTGCTAAAATCCAGTAGAAGAGTATGTGAATGCTATGTGTATTTGTAATCACTATTCTTATATAATTTCGATTCTTGTGTGAAGCGCAGAATCTCTCACTTATTTCGGGCGTTATGTTTGGCGCTTTTTGCAAGGGTAAGAAGAACTGGATTTTTGTCAATTTCGTGTGACTTTTTATGTGAAAATACATCGATATGTACTTGGGGATCAAGGGAGTGCGCTATGCCGAATTTGTGCAATTCTCTGATGTTTTTTTAAGTGAAAATAGGTCGATGTGTACATGGATACCGAGTTTATGCAATTCTTTATAACGCGCCAAGCAGTGGGGGATTCTGCACATTCCCCCAATTCTTTATGAAATTCATTGAAGTTTTTTTAATTTCCTGATTATTTGTAGTTTTGAATTAAATGAAATATACAATTACTGAAATCTCAGAACAGTGTATGAATGTAATGAGTACATTTAATTAGTATTTTCTTTAATTGCATTTAATATTTTTTTAGGAAATTAATTTTTTTTATTTTCCAAGTATTTGTATTACTGAATTAAATGAAAAATGTAATTCCTGAAATGTGAGAAAAAATTATGAATATTTACGTGTACATATAATCGATACCTTTTGCAATTGCAGCTCATAATTTTCTTCCGAAATTCTTTCTATCTTCTTTTCTTTACTTCTCGAATATTCGCGCTACTGAATTAGAACAGTGAACGCTGTAATCATGAAGTTACCATCAAGATAGTCATCGAACAGAATAGTAGATATTTATCTGATCAAAGTTAATTTTTTGTATAAAAAATTGAGTTTTATTTCACATTAACAACCGAAATTACATTCTTGCCAATCCGTAATTATTTATACATTTTGTAGCTGGCAACAAGAGCAAACTAAGAGAATTAACCAGTTCATGGAAACAAATAGCAAGACAATGTTCTTGTCTTATTGGTGAAGTGTGTCTAAACATTTGTGGGTTCGTAATAAAATTAGAGATAATAAATATGGAATCAGTATTAACCTGCGTAAGGTTCCTCAACAGAGAATGGTTTCATCCATCTCCAGGTTATAAAAATAATCTGAAAGCTTTCAGATTTTATACTACGCCCAAAGGGGCGTTTTCTTAACGCTTTGTGTGTTACCTTTCCTCATTAAATACCATGTTCTTCGCACGTAAACCATAAAATTCAACAGGAATATCGCAAAAAAAAAAAAAAAAAAAAAAAAAAAAAAAATGCAACCTTGCGGATAAAATATCAGTGATTGAAGATGCATGCGATGTTAATAACGCTTTGAAACCGTTCAGATTGCTAATCAAAAATTAAGTTTTACAAAATATGACACAGATAATAAAAGAAATTCCAAATTTGGCCTTCTGGATGCCCATATTCGAGTTGAAGACTACGCTATTTGAAATTTGTTGTTTCTAGGTACCGTTGTTTTCACAGTGCGAGAAACATACGTATATTCATGCAAATTCTTCATTATTTAGTATCTTGAAATACAATGCAGGGCTTTAATATTTGGTAACAAAAATTTGAAAAGTGTTATACACTTTTATAGAGAGAACCAACACAAAATGGCAAAACAAAATTAATAGCCCCTCTGAGCTAACGCTACTTTGGGATAATAATTTTCTTTTGCTCATAGAAGAGTAATTTTAAGCAATAATTATTAGGCATCACGTAAAATATAGAATTAATGATTATCTGCTTGAAAGAAAATTATCAACATTTCCGTTGATTTTAAGAAGTATTATTGGTATTGTTATTTCTCTTCAATATATAGAAAAATGTGTAGTGACTTCTTCGTACATACAGGTAAACACGGGCTGGACACTAGAATTTTAGTGCTGTCGTTATAGGTATAATGTATAGTCTGCAGGGTTTCAATTATTTTGCATAACAAATTTATTTTAAGTTTGATACCTTTCTTGAACTCCTCAACTACCCCTCGCATTTTCTCGCCAGGATGTAAATTTAAAATTAAGTGAAGTGAATATTTAAACTGGTGAATCTTTGAGTCTATTCAGAGAGTGTTTTCACTAGCCCGGGCACGTTTCGTTGCTATCTTGCAGTTACGCTAGTAAGCCTCTTGGCCATTTCGGGTTATCATCACGCCTGTTAGGTTTTATGAGTCAACCTGTTAGGCATAATTTAATGTGTTAATCCAGAGCTATTTTATTTTAGATTTTGGCTTGAATTATATTCAACGTTTCATTTTCGCCGCAAGTTGACGGCGAGCTTGTAAAGCACAAAGATCGTGCCTTTCTGGTAACCGTTTTGAATTAAATAAAGGGTTATTTTCCACTCTTCTTCTGTGCTAGTAATTTAATCACGCCTGTGGAAAAATTCGCCAGGTTCATTGTAGGATCTAATTTAGTTTATGTAGAATCCATAGAGACAGATCTTAAAAGTCTGCCGCCCTAACTGTACAGTTTCGCCCTAGTTTTACTGAAGAATATCCGTCTAGTAAAATTGTTGGGAATATATTTTGCTGGAATTATACATAAAGAAACATACTTTATTGCAGAGGGAAATTGCACATTTTTAGAACAATTTTGAGATTTTTTGATTAATATTCAAAGTATGAATGCTAGATCTAATAGAATTTTTTCTGGAGTATATATCTACATTGCCTTCCAAGATAGAAGAATTTTTCGTAAAATTTTTAGAGGTACTATTTTTAATTTTTCTCTAACTGCTTTCTTAAATTCACTCAATTTTGGCAGCCCCACCATTGGTTAAGACCGCTGAATGCTGAGACTTTGATCTGTGTTTTATCCCCGGTGAAAGGACTGACTCTATGGTTGGGTTTCATTATTTTCCCCATATGCAACGCGAATATGAACCGGACTCTCTAACAAGGTCTTCCACGAAGACATCCCTTCCCTTAGGGTGCTTCTACAAAATCGTCCACATACAGACATTTATCGAGCTGTTAAGAAACGTCTATAGATGGCGCTGTACTCCGCCTGTTTCTTCAGTGTAAGTTTGGAATTTGTAATAATGAGATGTGCTTAACTAAGAGTAAGAATGTTTGTAAGCGAGTCGCCGGCCCTAATAATTAAAGGCACAAGCACAATTAATACTACACTTTATTTCAGTAATTATGCAACTAAATTTATTTGTTGTTATGTTTTAAACTAAGCCTTTCATCGCCTATTACATACAAACTGAACCACCAAGATAGTTACAAGTTTTGGATTAGTAACAATGTCACATGATGTATCTGCGTGGAATAGCCGGGACTGTTGGATTATAACGTTTGGATTACTGAATCATGCCCCCGAGGAAATAAAAGGTAGGCTCTCATTTTGTATTTATTTTTGAACCTTGGATGTATTTCTATTGTACAGTATTAAGGAAATGCTCGTTGATGCTGATGCAGTTGTCAGCCAAAGACTAATCGGTCAAGTTAAAGGAAACTCCATTCCGGAATTGAACTGTGACAGGGCCATATCGACCACTTAAAAGGGATGAGGATTTCTGCAGACGGACAGCGTAGTTACACCAACATTTGTCCTCGTTGCCCAGGTGACATCCCACTGTCTCGCCATCACATCTTCAGCTGCCCAGCAATCCAGGCCAGACTGTTTAACATCGGCACTGAAGACCCAGTGGACCTACTTTATACTGATAGATCTGCCGAGGTTGCTAAAGCTGTCTTTGACAGCTTCGAAGCTATATAATTGCACTTTGTCATAGACACGACATCATCATCAGTATTAAGAAAATGGCAGCGTTAGAACTAGCAAAAGCTAAAAGAATAGTTCGAAAATTAACAACCCAGTTAATTAATCAAAATGATGCTAAATTAAAGTCAGGAGAGGAACTTGATGAGCAAGATTTCAGAAACGATTACAAGCTCTTAATAGAAAGAAGTAACGAACTGAAAGTTCTCGACAGTGAAATCGAAACTTCCGCATGGTTGTTTGTAAATGTATAGTGTCGGTGCGACATGGCGCCACTCTAAATATGCGACGAGCAAAAAGTTCTCTCGTGTGGTTTGGTGGAAGGGAAGAGGCATTGGAGACCCTCGAACCCGTCTATTTGGACTTCTCCATCAAAATTGGGGGAGG